TAAAGGTACAATTCCCAATGAGAAATGTAATTGTGTTGTATACCTACAATGTACCAATAAAAGAATTTAATACAATAATCAAAAAAAAAAAAAGAAGAATGGGTCAGAAAGCCGGGGATTTAGCTCAGTGGTTTCACCGTCTGCTGTGCAAGCACAAGGACCCGAGTTTGATCCAGTACCAAAAAAAAAAAAAAGAATGGGTAGGAAAGTTAAATTGTGGTAGCCAAGATTACTCTAAGAATCTTTCTGTGAAAGAAAAGACATCATGCAAATTATTGCTTTTTTTTTCTAAAGCTCAGGTTGGGAGGCAAGCAGCCCTCTAACATATTGACACAGGACACATGATACTATACTTCTCATGAGGAAATACTGCAAGTTAACATTGATGCCCCATCTGGCCATTTTGAAATGAGTAACTGCAACACAGGAGCTATGCCATTTGCATATCATTTTAAACATACATTTTCTTCTTTTGATTAAAATAACAAAGAACAAAAAGTAAAACTGATCTTCCTACATGAGGAAAATTGTATATCAAATGTACACAAATGGCAAAATGCTTATATTAACTGGCCAGTGCATCATTCTGTAGCTGTTATTATTATTAAACTTTCATGTAAAGAAATGTTATTAAGCAAAGCAATTTCACAGGGAAACACTTTACTAATAGTTTGCCAAATTTATGTAATTTGCTTAATTCAAATTAAGATTGTCTTTAGTAAACTAGTTTCCTTCCCTAGCATTGTAGTGTAAAATAATACTGTAAGTTCTAAAATTTTTGTGGTAGATGATGCAAAATAAACATCTATCTAATTGTAGTGTATTATTTAAAGTATTAACTAGTCAAGAGACAAAGTAATAAAGTCCTTCCTCACAAAACATCCTTTTGAAGTATTTAAAATCCAAGTATCTACTCCATCAAATAGTTGTCAGAATTTATCTATGTACTATACAGTGTAAGCAACTCTGGTATTTCTGGCTTACAACATATAGTAATAAGACAGCATTAAAAAAAAAAAGGATGTCACAGTAAAATAACTCAGTAAGTCCCTATTCTATACCTTCATTTGAAATATATAAAGAAAAGCAAATCTAGTCATAATGACTTTTGGCACTCAATCCCTTAATGCAATTTAAAGACAACTATGGCAATGTCTCTAATTTGTTTTTGATAATTCTTTTATGCCCTAGACACAAGTGACATTTATTCTTTTTCAAATATAGATAACTAAATTAATGGTTTCACATAAACAATAGGATTCCCCACCATTCTCCTTTTCACTACGAAAGTAATTCAATCAGACAGTTTGGCAGATTGGACCTAAGTTTAAAGTACCACCACAAGTAAAAATAAAATCACACATTAACACTCATTTTAGGAGATGAAAAGTTTACTTAAAAATTGCAGACATATAGCAAAGATAAGACAAACACTTTTTCATATTCATACAAATACAGTAACTTATAGCTGGCTTGGTACATGGTCACAGGTTAAAAATAAATCTAATGGAGAAAGTAATGGTTCATTCTACTTCTCTGCCATTTATCATCATTTAATAAGTATACCAGTAAGTACTGGAAGACAACTGCATAGAAAGATTAGAATCCTAGGGCTGTTTGTTAATACACATTACATAAGAATACAAAAACAAAATAGGTACAGATAATACAATTAAAATGCAAGTTAGGGCCATGGATTTAGCTCAGTGGTTTCGCCGCCTGCTGAGCAAGCATAAGGACCGGAGTTCGATCCCCGGTACCAAAAAAAAAAAATGCAAGTTAAACTATTATTTTGAAGAAACAGGACAGAATTTAGTGAAAACAACTGAAAACTGTTACTAATGTGTTGTTATAGTCAGTATATCACAGTATTTTTACATGGCATAGAATTTCTTCCACCTTAAACAATGTTTGGCAAACTAGAACAGGTTGATCCTATTTCTAGAGTAACTTTCAGATGAAGGAAAACAAGTGGTAATTCTATTAAATGTTTTTCTAAACACGCTAAATTTTTAAAATGCCAGAACCTCAGCTTATCATCTCCAAATTTAAAACAAAGTCATGCATTGTACTCTCTACAATCTGCATTGCCCTGTATAGTAGTCCTTAGCCACACATGGCTGTTGAGTACTTGAAATGTGGCCAGTCAGAATTGAGATGTGTTACCACCACAAAATATACACTAAATTTGGTGTATGGAGAGAGGGGAAAGTAAGATATCTAATTAATAATGTTTCATACTGATTACATGTTGAAATAATATCTTTAATATATTGGGTTAAATGAAAAACACTACTGAAGTTAATTTCACCTCTTTATCACGGCTAGAAGGTTAAAAATTACTTTGTGGCTCACATTGTATTTCTATTGATCAATGCAACTACAGATAATATATAATCATTATATTAGCCTTAAAATTTACCATTATTATTTACGCACTCTGGGGTATGATCTCCCAGAACACTGTAAGCACACTGCACAAAACTTACTGCAAAATTTATTCTTCTTAATCCTCTGCCATTTTAAGACTTCACAAAATATGTAATCCTTAAAAAATGTCAATTACTATGAAAGAACTTCAATGCAGATTGCTACACTGGGAGAAAACAGATTTAAGAAATGCAGCAGTGCAATCAGTGAAGACAATTAGTATCACTGGTAAAGTAAGTTAGCCAAACTAATCTTTAATGCCTAGAATCTGACCTGCAACCCAGATCATACATGTAACCAGTTCATCTGAAGAAAAACTACAAGGCAATCTTAAAACATCACTGACTTCAATTTATGCCTTTTCACTTAAAGACTCTTACTGTTGAACTGAGCAACTGACTACTAGTTCAAGAAAGTGGATTAAAAAAAGTTTAGAATCTATTAAAAATACTAATACTAGTTTTTGACTTTTTTCTCCCTCTCTCCCTTTTCCATTCTTTTTAAAGCTTTTGTGGTAGAGTATATAAATATTTGGCCTATCTGTAATACCTCATCTTTTTAAATTTTTTTCCAACTCAAAAACAGTAAATTAATCTAGTATACAGTCCATTATTCTCCTAGAACATGATATATCAAGATGCAATATTCTCAGTGGTTACTTCGGTCAAAAGCCAGCATCAGTTATGCATCAAGAGCCTCCCCCCACAGGCAGTACTTGTACTGTACAATTGGTTCCTCACAACTCAGGTAGGAATGTTTTTTTCAAAGACTGTTTAATCTTTTTATGTTAGGTAAACTGACAAAAATGCTCTGGGAGTCACAAGTGAACAGTTAATGAAACTACAGTACTGTATCATTCAGAAAAACTTATGTCAAAGATGACTTGGAAAAACAAGTAAATAGAAGTTATTTAACATACTTTTGCATATTACCATTATTACAACACTGGAAAGCAACTAGGATTTAGGGAGAAATAAAAATAACCTAAACTAGATGGTACAGGGAATACCAATACAGAAACTGCAGAAGACTACAGCAGTTTTTCCTAGAGTTCAGCTGCCTGTTTTTTAAGACATTCATTTCATCACATTTATTAATGTGCCTTACACAGGAAGATTCTACGCTTAAATTTTTTATATATATTTTCAAATCATATATAAAGAGTGCTTTAATTATGTTACTAACTCTGGCCTAAAACCCTAATAATTCAGGTCAAGTGAAATAATTTTTCAGTTGTACAATATATTACTCTACAATATACTTCTCAGTGACAAGATGACAATTGTCTCCAAAACTGCTGAAAGCTCACTGTTAGACATTAGATCAATAATCAATTAGGTATTTACTGAGTACCTACTATGATTGCAAAATATCTGCTCCAAATGTATGACTTTGATGAAGAAAGACAATATATGCACATTTTTGATAGAATAGTGTTTGAGTCAACATTTGGACATGTGAAATTATAAACCCTTACGACATAAAAATAGTCAAATGTATTATCTCTATCTTTATAAACATAAACAATCTAAGGTATACTGCATAGTACTTTAAAGAAAGTGATTGCCAGATATAAAATAAAGGTTGATTTCCTGAAGGTATGGGAGAAAAACTAGAATGATATGATTTATAAACCACTAAAGAATATAAGCAATTTATACAATTATCTAGTTAATTAGGACAAATTGGTACTTGTGTTATATTTCCAACTTTGCTGGAGGGGGATGATCTAATAAAGAAAACTGACTTATGAACACTAAACAAATATAAAATAAAAATCTTTTGGATAAAATTCTTTGTAAAAACCATCCTATAAATTCAAGCTCCAAATCTGTTATATATATATAGGTGTGTGTATACACACTTATTTAAATACCTTAAAAGTATCTAAATTTCACTTGCAATGTTGTAAAATTGTGTATCTTTACCTTGTGAATTTGAATCTGATTATGTACTTTACGCAAAATGGGTGCATTTCACTTAAAACTACCATAAGAATATAGACCATGACGAGACGGAGCTAGTTTTTCCTTTCTAGCTTTTATCTATTCTGACTTGACCTTATAACATGGAAGGCATTTATACAATGTGTTCAACATGTACAAGACTTGCACATCACAGTAATCCTTTTCCTCAATAGGATTTCTAAAAATTGAGAAGGATGCCAAATAAACAAATATGATATTGCCTACCTCCCAACATGGAAATAAAATACAGAAATCATTCCCATGGAAGACATATATAAGATAATGTTCCCAAAGGAGCCATAGGGGCGAGAGCAGCAAGGTGAACAATGAGGCAGTCATAGAGGATATACTAGCTACTATGCTGGTAGTGGTTTATAAAAAATACTATATATATTAAAATGTTAAGAGCTAGTAATATATTTAACCTATTTTTGCTTTTTCTTTTTTTGCCACTAAATATAAATTTTTGTTCTACATTGACTAAATCTTTTACACCCTGAGGAATAACAACAGACCAATAAAAGAAATGTCAGGGTTAGTTTTGTGGATCATATTATTGTCCAGAAAGCACATACTATATATAGCTAATATTCTTGGAAGCACAATGTTTGACCAACAGACTAAGCTACTGCCTTATTTATTTATTTATTTTTAGCAAAGAGTTTGGTTTTACAGTGTTATCATGGCCTGGTAAGAGCAGAGAAGTCAAAATTGGGAGCCTGAGGTTTCCCCTCCTACACCAGAGCCACAATGGATACATTGGTTTTCTGTCTTCAGTATAAACACAGCATATCACTGCCCTTTAGGAACACATTGTTTAAGAAATCTCTGTAAAGCACTTTGGAATCTTAACTATATTTTTCATGAAATTAAAACAAGCAATTATTTGCTGTTGTGAAATATGAAATTCCTATCCCTCTTCCTCAGACACAAATATATAAAATGAATATTTAAAATTTTAACTCAGTGTTTACTTCTTTTTTTCTGATATCTGAAAAAGAAAGGCCTAATCTCCCCCTGGCTCCCAAACTATCCTGTATCATGCTGAATCTGGGAAGGAACGAAGATCCTTAAAGTAAGGCAGAGGATTAATTTAGGACAGCCATCTGATCTTTATTTTGAGGCGGGTGCCAGTTTCCCTTTGTATAGGTTTCAGACTGTCTTTGGGCATGTATCATGCTCTAAATGTGATGCCTCTAACCCCAAAATGTTAGTTATCAGAGAGAAAGAACTAGTCTCTCTCTACTTGGTAGGGTGCCTAAAAATGTTAACTAATTATAAACACAATGTATTAGGATCCTACCTTCTTCTATCAGTATATTATATGATAAAATACCCCATGGGACCATGCCTAGCTATGGGAATAAATAAAATAGTGAACCATAATCAGGTATTTGATAAAACTTCCATACTCTACTTTCTGCTTAAACATTAAGTTCAATGTAAGGTAATCTTGCTTCTCCCAAAAGTAAAAAAGGCACTCAAAGTAACACAGTACCCATAGCTATTTTTTTCAAAGACACTGTGTGATGGGGTTTATTTTTCTTGCTCACTGCCTTAATGACATTGAATTTGCCTAAATTTGTCAGTGCTTCCACAAAGGTCTCTAATATACAGGAGTTCATTACAGAGCATGGGGAGGTGACAGCACAGAAAGTGCTAAAATTTGCAGTTCTATTTGAGAAATTCATTCAAAAGGCAAAAAGGTCCAGTTGTTACAGCAGTGTTCAAATTTCTTAGCATGCTGTAAATATCTTAAAGTATTAAAATATAATTTTCTAGTAACAGAATAACAGTAAATTTTAAGTGTTTTTGTTTTTTTGCAAAAAAAAAAAAAGAAAATCCTGTTGGTTTCTTTTACAACTAAAATTTTAGCATCTTCCAAAATTCACAGGAACTAGGGTAGAGACTGTTATACAGTAACTGATAATTCCACTTTTAAATTGCATTTAGCCCATTGTCAGATACCATCTTGTGCTATATAAAGGAAAATTATAAGACTGACACTTCGTAGCAATATTACAAGTTCTCTTTACTTATACACACACACACTAAACACTCGCACACACACTCACTAAGTATGAACTGGTATCTGAATATATCTGAATTACATAATGTTTACCCTATATTCTTTCCATAAAAACCCCAAAACCTTTGTTTCCACAACTGATATCACATGAGGCCTTATTGGAAGATATAAGTGGCTTTTAGTGATAATCTGTATATGTCCTTCTTACTAATTAATGAAGCAGGGTACAATTCCTACCACTGCAAAAAAAAAAAAAGAACTATTGACACCTTTAATTTAAATTAGAACCATCCCATACAAATAAGAAATATGACTGGAATCTGGGTCCAGGGTTTCTAAGGAGGTAATAGGGGATATACTAATATGTATCAAGTTCTTAATCTTAAAAAATGACTCACACAGGTTTAGGAAGTATCTAAAAGGTCCACAGTTCAAGTTGGGGAGAAAAAAAGAGAAGCATAAAATGCTTCAGGCACAGACACAGATCAATAAGTCACCAAAGTCAAAGAATTTCTTCACTTTCTGCCCAAGGTGGCTCTCACCATCTTAAGTGATCAGAAAGCAGTATTCTTAATGCCGGTGGATTTCATCAGCTCTGTGAGCTTTTAATAAATATTAAAGTTCAACTGATAATTCTAGTGCTACATTTCTTGGCTGGGATTTTTTTTTTTTTTTTTGGTACCGGGGATCGAACTCAGGTCCTTGCACTTGCAGGGCAGGCGGCGGAACCACTGAGCTAAATCCCCAGCCCCATTGGCTGGGATTTTAACAAGTTAAAACAAGGTAATGAAATGAAGAAAATAAATCTAAATTAACTTATTCTAGATGTGATAGTTCTCCTTAAACATTATGAACCTCGAAAACATCATTTACCACAATCCATTTTTCTCAATCAATATTCTACCTACCACTCATTACTAATCTTTCTTCAGAAAGTTAGTCATCAATAAATACGTAATAACCTCTCACAGTGTGCCAGGCACAGAGTAGAATATGGAAACAACTGATTACCAAAATAGATATGCTTAGAAAAAAAGGGTGGGGCAAGGGTTATGGTGGAGATAGTTACAGATCTTATTGCTTTTTGCTTGTCAGTAGTTATTCATGACCCACAGGATGGTATGATGCCCTGCTATTCTTCCAGTGAAATCTGATAAAATGTGTGTCAGTCTTTTAACAACTACATTATTTTCATAAAAATAAGACTAAAAAGCCCCTGAAATTAGATATATTCTTTCTACTGCATGAGCTCATTTAGTCGAAGACATATTATATTAGTGAGTTTAAATGTCAAGCACTTAGGAAAAAAACACAACCATAAAGGGTAACTGTAAGTCTTCTTGTGAATGAACACTTAAGAAATGCATATTTGAGAAGTAAAGTAGCACACAAGTCACATACTAACAGTATCCTTTGGATATTTGTATTTTTCACTCCCTACTTAAAACTTTACAAGGAAGACAAAGAGACCAAGATACATTAAAGGATTGCATGGCTTCAGAAAGTGGTGGATTGAGCTCTAGAACATATAAAGGTGGTTAACATGAGATGGGCAAGATACTGAAAGATACTGAAGGAAAGGTATAAAAAGGCATGGAATACTATAAAAATTTAGCTAATGTTCATATAATCTATAATCATGTCCTGAAAGGTACTCATGTCAAAGTATAAGAAGTCCTATTTTGGGGATATTAAAAATGATGCTTAGAAAAAAGGTAATACTGAATAAGGCCAGAATTTGGCAACATGTAGTATTGGAATGGATAGAACCTCCCGTGTCTTCTCTATGCAGTTTCTACCCCATCCCCTCAGGAGCTGAAAATCATAAATCTAATGGTTTTATCCACAAGAGGTCCACATAGGCCTTGAGGTATTTGATTCATAATATGCTCTGTAGCAGGGGCCATGGAATTATGTTCATAATAGCAATTATTTTCTCACTTTATAACGAGCATTTTTTGCCCTAAAAAGAACAACATTCGTCTTTTGGGATCAGGCTAGGTAATTTTTCTGGTGTTCTTAAGTGTACCACTCAGTTCAAGAGTCTGCCATTCAAAAACACCATGATGCTGAAGTAAAGGACTTATTTCTCTTCCTGTAAAGCAGTGCACCTAACTCAAGTCCAGACTCTCCACAAGAATAGGACAGGAAAGGCTTGCTTTCCCTATATCCTTCTCCCCCTCCCACAGACTAGGAAAACAGGAAAAGCCTGGTGGTCACACTTAGTACTGTGACTATTCTTCACATTTTACACACACATCGGACAAGAGACAATTTCCATTCTTACAGGAACTTTTAGAGGGGTAGTTCTTATTCTAATTTCCTCTGTGTATGTGTGTGTGTGTAGATGTAAGAAATTAATTGAAATAGAGACGGTTAACAGCTTCAGTAGGAATTTCTGAAATTAGGACAGAAAATATATAAACATGAAAGTGACAAAAAACGTATGAAATAGATAGGTAAAATAAAGAAGTATGTGTGAAGAAGAAACAAATCATTTTATAAAGGGGGAAATACAGTAAGAACATAGACATTATCTGACCCTCCACCCACCTATGTTGCCAATCTGAAAAACTGAGCCCTTGTTACTGAAAAGATGAAATACAGATATAATGTGGATACTTTGGTATGGCATCCCTGATAAAATTCAGTTTCAAAGTGTTTTGTTTCATTTTTAAAACCGAAGAACTCATCTCCAAAACTGTTCTTTCCTCCAGCTTTTGCAAACATACTGTTTAATAATCACTTGACAAAAATTTTGTAGTTTATCCAGTATAACCTCAATAACAATTTTTAAAGAAAATTTTTACTAATACATTTTTATATATATATTTTACTTTATGTATGGAAGGAAAAAGGCAGTATTAACTAAAAATGGCATTCTGGGATTTGAAAAATTTATTTTATAAGGGCTGATTTGACTGTTTTGGCATATATCAAATATGAGGTAAAAACAATCTATTAAAAATAGTAATAAAATTAATTTTCCAGTACTGTAATTACACATCCCCCCTCCTCTAAAGTAACCATTTAAAAATGGATTACATTGGAGGCAGTTTTTGATGTAAGTGCCAATACTTTTGACTTTGGCTATCTTAGTCTGTAACTTAAATAGAACATGCTGGAGATAGAGAACTGGTTTATATTTTTGCATATCCATTAATCTAGCCATTTGATTCTCAAAACAACAGTAAGATCAAGTCCTTTTGGATTTGTATTATGTTCTTCAGCTGAAACACAACATACATAAACTTTTTATTTAAAATTTGCATATGCAGTGCTCGCTTCGGCAGCACATATACTAAAATTTGCATATGTAGCAATTGAACTGAAGTGGGCAGAGGTATGTATGAACCAAACAAAAAGCCCTACGTATATAAAGGATAAGGAGTTTAAAAGAAAAAAATAAGACTATTTAGCAGGAAGAAATTATATAATTATTTTATCTCCAAAGGAATGCCAATTCTTAAAATAAATAAAAGATTTCCTAAGGATTTTTAACCTAAAGGAGAGGAACAGTTAGCCAGCAATAGCAAAGTTCATGCAGCTATGTCAATGAGATAGGAAAACAATATTGCACTAAAAGGGGAACCTTGCAGGATTAATCCACCTCTTTCATTGACTCAAAGTGAGTAGCCATTTCCTGTATGCATTGGCATACCTGGCTTGTTCTACATTCCGGCAAGTGGATAACACTTGATCGATGAACCTGTGCTCCATTTCTAGACCTAAGGAGTCTGTAGCTGGGGTCCGCTTCAGGCGTTTGGTTTCCTGGGAATAGCCTTGCTTGCTACAGTCATTCAGTCCATCCACTTCCATAGCCTGAGACAGATGGGGGCCTCCAGGGACGAGGTGCGAGTCACTCAATGTCTCCCCAGGGCTGTCTGCAGGTGATAGCTGTGTTGTGCTGTGAGGAAGCCTCCCGCTGAAGTAATGCTGAAGATAGAAAATATGCCGCCTATGAGGGGAAGGAAGAAAATTTAAAAAAATCACATCAAAAAGTTAAACTTTTCAGAAGGAAGAAGTTGGCAATTTCAAAGTATACAGTACAGAGTTTGCTGCCCATTTCATCACCTTGAGATATCTGGGGGAAGGAGGAAAAACAGTTGAGATGAAACTTCTGGACAAAAGCCTTCAACCTAGCTTACTGGTTTCTGAGAAAGACTACTACTCTAAAGGTTTTTCAATAATTTACTGAGATGGTAACAATGACCTGGCACTGTTACTTTCTGGTAACTATAAAAGTAGAAACATCTTAGCCCAATATGCCTTAAGTTATTATGTAAATATAAAAAAAGTACCACACTGATATCTTAAAAGATAAGTGATTAAAAAACTAGAGGGATTAAATGATTTCTCTAGAGGCTTAGTTTATGGCCTTTATCCAATCCTTTTAAAAGTTACAATACCTCTGCTGCTGTTGGTCTTACTATCTAGAAATTAACAGAATTTTCTTCTAAATCTATCACTAGTCTTAAAATGTGCTGGACTCTGAAGAAAGCATTTTAAAAGATATAGTTCTTCTTTTCCCACCCAGGAGAGCAGTTCTCCTGCCCTTAGAATCACCAGGAACTGTCTGTTAAAAATTATGATCCCTATGTCTAATCTATAAAACTTTAATTTGGGGGTGGGAGATCTACTACCTACACACAACATGATAAACTACATAAGTTCAAAGTTATATCTCATCACTCATATTATCAACTCTGTGGCCCTAAAAGATAATTCTATTCATTTAACTCCCTGCATATGCTGCAGTAAATAGGGAATGTATAAAGTACCATTACCTTACTCCAATGTTAATCTTTATTATGCAAACATTTTCTCAAATCCCCCAAGTCTTGCTATTAAAATGCTTAAACACAAAACAGAACAAAGATCTTTTATCACCAAGCCAATTTCAAGTTAAGATCTATCTTCTGTTTGGAAATGTCCATTGATAGTCTTGGTTTTAAAAGAAAGGGAGACTTCCCTATTTATGAAGATGCCCAAAAGAAGAAGCTGACTTTTACTGACTTTTTATTTAGCATGAAAATGAGGTTGGCCAAATCTCTGCAAACAGCCTAGAAGATGATAATGTAGAAAGCTGGGGGGAAGGAGTGGGTTTTCAATAACTTAAGAAATACACACATTTTAAAAGTGCCTACTTCTTGCCAGTACAAGCCTTTTCTTTGAAAATTATATCCTATAGCCTGAAGTAAAGTCTGTATTTATGAAGATGGAGATACCTCCAAATAGACAAACACCCAAAATAACTGAAGATGTCCATATATCTGAACTTCATTCCAATATGAAATTTACATTACTGTCAAATGTACTCAAAACTAGTCTTTTCCTGTACCCAAAGAAAAATCCTCTAACATTTAAAATTTTTTAAAAAAGCATTGAGATTATTCTTAAGTCCATTAGATTCCTAAATAAAGCAAGCAAGCAAGTAAGCTTATTTTATGCTCAGGCTCTAATAATCTCAATCCTGACTGTGCATCAAAACTATCTGTAAAGCTTTTTTTCTTTAAAAAATAAAACAAAACAAGGGCCAGGGATTTATATCAGTGGTTCCGGCGCCTGCCTTGCAAGTGCAAGGTCCCGAGTTCGATCCCCGGTGCCAAAAAAATAAATAAATAAAAAATAAATAAATAAATAAAACAAAACAAAACAAAAAACCACAAAACAGATGGCAACACTTCATTCCAGATATGCTAAATACCAGGATATCTAAAGAATAAGTCCAGAAATTGTTGTTTCTGTTTTGTCTTGTTTTCCTTGTATTTTATTTCGGACATAATATAGGTTATTCTGCTGCAGAATCAAGGCTGAGTACCACTACCCTAAGCCATAGGAAAAATGAGTGAGGAGCTTCATGCTACTGCTGCTGCTGCTAATACAAACCCCTTCCCACTCAGTCATAGCTCCACAATCAGATGATCATAATTCACAAAAAAAGCAGAAGTCAGATATAACAACATCTGCAACTCTCATAAGAAAATGCCAAGTTTCATGTAGGAAATGTTCTTGTCCCTTCTCTTACCTATGACACCAAAGGGTTTCATGTCCTGGGTAGGAATCAATAAGATCAGTGCTGAATTCCACTTCCTCTTCTAGAAGATGAGAAAGATTTATCCTTGGTTCCTCTGTTGAAGCTGTTGCTTCTTCATCTTTTGGAAGAACCAGGGCTGTCTCACTTTTCAAAGGGTTCTGCTCCAATACAGAATCAACTATCATAGTTTGGCTAATCAAAGACTTTAACAAAAACTGGCGGTAGTGAAATCCACTGTGGTCTGAAACGTGCATGGATGCCCAATGTTTAGTAGAAGATAGTTCATCAAGAAGAATCTTGTAGGAAGAAAAAAGGGAAGTGAGAAGAATTTCCAAAGATTTTTCCTTCTCCATTAACATTTCTGATTTCTCTTTGATTTATTCCTTGTTTGACACTCATTCTCATTAGTGTTTTGTATACAATGTCAAGCATAGCACTATCATTTAGAAGCTTAATACATGCTAGTGTCTCTTTTCCCTTATAAGGTAATAGTGATTTTTTTCTTTTGTTTTTGTCTCCCCCACCCCCAGGCAGCCCCGTACCAGGGATCAAACTCAGGACCTTGCGCTTACAAGGCAGGCATGGCACCACTAAGCTAAATCCCCAGCCCAATAGGCTTTTTAATTTTTATTATTTATTTATTTATTTATTTATTGGTACCGGGGATCAAACTTGGGACCTTGCACTTGCAAGGCAGGCAGCGGCACCACTGAGCTAAATCCCCAGCCCCCAATGAGATTTTTTAAACCACAGAATTAAGAATTTGTCATTTTTCCCCTTGACTATTCACATTTTGATTGGCACATAGAGAAAAGCTAAATTCTAAAATAATGATGAACACTATTTGCCCTAAACTCACCATAAATGATAAATTTTTTTAAAAAATAGATAAAATTCAGCAGTAAATTATTCAAATCTTTATATTACCAATCCTGCAAACTAAAGAAAAACCGCATTTATAAAAAAAAAAAATTGTTTGGTACTGTCTTGGACAGGCAGCAAATATAAACTGAGTTTTGATCAGTGAAAGGTATTATCACCGTGAAAGGTATGACCACATTCTGCCAGAAAATTTTCAGACCAGCTAAAAAAAAAAAAAAAGACATACTTGTGAATATACAGACAGCACAATGCCAATGACGTCTTTACATGCTTGTGAAAGGTCCTAGGCAAATGCCTTTTCCTGTACCAAGATCCCCCTCCACTTTTCACACACCCCTTTCTCTGCTTGAAGAAAACTTTCACTCTTCTAAACTTCCACATAGCCCTTGTGTGATCTACTACACAAAAGAATTTTCTATACAGGTCTTCTTCATTCCCCCTCCAAATTCTCCAGGTACTTTAGTTTCTTTCTTTCTATCTTTTTTTTTTAATGCTATAAGTATTTATTTATTCTTAATTGATGATTTCATGCCTCTATACCCTTTGGCATCAGAGTGGATACATAAATATTTTATGAATGAATGAATGGACAATTTAAAGAAGGAGGTGACAAGCACAAAGGAGAAAGATTACTTAAAGTCAGGACATTCAAGTTTTATTAGTGGAATGTTTTAAATATTTCCTTTAAGTTCTAAAGTGTTTATATGTAACCACCTAAATGTATTCTAGAGGCAATAAAATCTGAGAAATTGACAAAAAGATGATTTATTTGATTTTATAAGGTGAACGAAAATAGCCCCAAATAAATATCTACCTGAAAAACAAATTAATTCAATGTTATTACAATTTTGAAGATTAGTCTGCTGACACTTAGGCTATAATTCAGCAGCTTTTTACTTTTGGTATGGCTTCTCAATCTGGTTTGAAATGACGAGTTATTTAAAATAAACTAATACAATATGAAAAACCTTTTATGTCTTACAAGATATTTCTACATAGAAAAATAAGCACTGTTCAGTTTTGAAACAAAAATAGTACATATATGAAAGATTTTCAACAAAACCAATTTAATTTCTTAAAAAACAATCTGACTTTTTAAGAAAAAGTCTATATTCTTTTTCTTTAGACATATAAGGATGAATTATTAAATAAAGAAACTTTAATTGGAGTTTCAGGGCATTTTATTACTAGAACATCAAAGTATACAGATAAAGGCAATGGTGAAAAGACAGTAATTGCTTTTAAGTCACCCTAAAGACATTATATAAAGCTATTTCTCAAAGGTTAAGGTACTGATAAGATGGATGTCTTCGTATCATACTTTAAATATACTTATTCTTTTCCAACTTCCATATAAGAAAGAAAACTATAGAAGCATGGATATGAAATAGAAGAATAAGAGGTTTAAAAGGAATACTGAAAACACATGTTACTAGCCTTACATTTTAAAAAATATTTGGTTTTTCTTCTGATCATAAAAGTGATAAAAAAAATATAAAAAAACAAACAAAAATCACCCATTATACTTTCAGCCACAGATCGTTCCAACACTCTGGCATATAACCAATCTTTCAGCTTTTTTCTATGGATGCATATACAAAGAGTTTATTTTTAACACAACTTTGGAATACTCATACAGATTTTGTTCCACTTAAAAACAAAATTTTATGGCATTAAACATTATTTAACTCTTGCATAGTATTTAATCCTAAAGATAAGTACAATTTATTCTCCTATTTGTTTCCAGTCTTGTCACCTTATGTGCTATCCAGCTATTCAGTAGAAATTTCTAGATGTATATTTGCTGGAATAAAAAGTACAATATTATAAGGTTCATTATATATACTATCAAAATGTCCTCTACTAAGGCTATCTAATTTATATTTCTAGTGGAAGTACATGTTAAGGCCTATTTCCTAAGTTTCTCATCAATACTGCAGTACTTTGTTAAGTAAAAAATCATGTTCATTTTAATCTAACTCCATTTGTCACATATGCTATAAATATTTCTATGAATATATTACTGCACGATTTTTAATTTTTCCAGGTTTACTGAGGTATAATTGACAAAAACTGTACATATTTATGGTTCACAATATAATGAATTTATGTGTATGTGAACTGAGTATCACAATCAGGCTAACATATATCCATCATCTTACTTTGTCACTTTTTCAGTGGTAAAAGCATTTAACATCTACCCTCTTAGCAAATTTTAAGTATGCTATACATTTTTAACTATGATCACCATGCTGTACACTAGTTACAAAGTTTTTCATCCTGAAACTCTGTACCCTTTGCCTAGTAACTCCTCATTCCTCACTCCCTCTCTCAACCCTGCAACTATTACTTTATAATCTGTTTCTATGGGTTAAACTGCTTACTTGTATATTCCATGAACAAGGGTGATTTTGCAGTATTGGCTGGTTTATTTCACTCAGCCTAATGTCCTCCAGGTCTCTTTTTTCTTCATATAGGCTGTTAATTCACTAAGAGTACAGATTTATTGTATGTATACTGATAGATTAAAAACCTAACTGAATTAATTTCTAAAAAGTCACTCAAGGGTAGTAGGTGTGGTGCTGTGGTAGAATGCTTGCCTACTATGCACAAGGCCTTGGGATTGATTCCCAGCACTATGAAAAAAAAATTCACATCTAAGCCAATTTTTACCAACATCATTAATTGAAGAAAAATGTTTTTCATATTCATCATTAAAGAAGTCGGTAGATATTTTATATTTTGTTTCTGGGCTCTATATTCTTTTTCATTATTAAGTCTATTTTTGAAACAGTACCATAGTTTTAATTACCCTGTCGTAAACATTTAAATATCTGATGGCAGTGTTTTTATCTTTTTTCAACAATTTCTTAGCTATTTTTAAAACTTTTATCAATTTCTGAAGTTGAAAAATGTATCAGTAGTTTTTAGTATATAGACAATGTTAATGTAGATATCACTGTTAATTAACTTAAAACATTTTCATCACCCCCCTCAAAAAAAACACCTCATTCCTCTTAGATGTCACTCCACATTCCCTTCTCCCCAGCTGCTGGCACTCAATAAATCTGCTTTGTCTATTCTGAACATATTAGATAAATGGAATCACATAATTTGTGGCCTTTTCAATTTGGGTGCTTTCAATCAGCATATTGTTTCAAGGTTCATCCACTCAGTATTTCATCTCTTTATTATGGCCAGTATTCCACTATATGAATGTATGTATCACATTCTGGCTCCTTCTTCACAGATGATAAACATTTTGGATGCTACCACCTTTTGGATATTATGAATAATTTGGCTATAAACATTCTCATACAAGTTTTGGAATGAAAATGTTTTCAATTCTCTTCGTTATATTCCAGGTAAAAGAATATGGTAAATTTTTTCAGGAATATAATATATTGGTTGTGACTATGTATTTTTTTCATATATACTAATTCTATGTTTAAGTTTTTGAGGAAATGCAAAATCGCTTTCCGTAGTGACTGAAACATTGTATATTCTTACAAACTACAAACATGATCCACGATTTCTGTATATCCTCATCAATACTTGATACATGATTAGTAAGTCTAGAGCAGACACAGATAAAAAAAATAAGAGGAGCTGTGGAACACGATGGAATCTCACCATAGGAAACAAATGGAATCCATAAAACACATGAAAACAGATATCTAGGAGATTAAAAACTCCACTGAAAGTTTATGCAGCAGAATGAGCCAATGTGAGGACAGAATATCAGATATAGAAGACAGGATTGCAATTAGTGACCAGGAAAAGAAAGATTTCTTAAAAATAGTAAGGGACCATGAGAAATCAATTCAGCACCTGCTAGATGATGCAAAGAAGAATAACATTAAGACTGATCTGATTCAAGGAAAAAACAGGAGAGTACAAACAACATAAAAAAAAAAAACTGTTCACAGAGGTAATGGCAGAAAATTTCCCAAGCAGGGGAAAAGAATCTGATACACAGATAAGTGAGGCATATGGGACTCCAACTAGCCATGATAAAAAAAAATCTACACATAGGCATATAATACTCAAGATTCCAGAAATCCAACAGAAGAACAAAATGCTGCAAGCAGTTAGAGAAACAAATCACACAAAAGAAAGCCCATCAGAATCACAGGAGACTTCTCAATACAAACCCTCAAGTCAAGAAGAGCCTGGAGTGAAGTATTTCAAGCCCTAAAAGAAAATAACCTCCAATCCAGATTGATGTACCCTGCAAAACTATCTTTCAAAATTGATGGAGAAATGAGATACTTTAATGACAAACAATACCTGAGGAACTTCATGAATACCAAACCAGCACTCCAAAAAATTTTAAACAATATCCTAGGAAAAGACAACGAGAATCACAACCCCAGGAAGTCCTGCAGAATGAATCCATCAGGCATGACAAGAAATTAAATCCAAAGGCAGAGAATCCAACAACAGGAAAAGGTCATGAAAGGATAAGTCAATACATATCAATTATAACCATCAATGTTAATGGTCTCCATTCACCAATCAAAAGAAATAAGACTGGCAGAATGGGTCAAGAAGTAAGATCCAACAATATGCTGCATACAAGAAACACTTAATTCAAAAAGAAACTCATAGACTGAAAGTTAATGGGTGGAAAACAATACTCCATGTAAAGGAACCTGAAAAAGAGCAGGAGTAGCTATCCTATTTGCAGATCAAATGATTTCAAAACAACAGTAATTAAGAAAGACAAAGAAGGACACTACATCCTTGTAAAGGGAACAATCCAAGAGGAAGAGATGATAATCGTAAATATATATGCACCAAATACTAGTGCACCCAACTATATAAAACAAATATTAATGGACACGAAAAATCAAATAAACACTAATACAATAGTAGTGGGGGACCTCAACAACCCACTGTCACAAAAAGATCAACTAGACAAGAAATAAACAAAAAATACTAGAACTCAACCAAACGCTTGAACAAATGGACTTAACAAATGTTTACAGAGTGTCCTACCCCACAAAATCAAAATATACATTCTTTTCGGCTGCACATGGGTTGTTCTCCAAAATAGACCACATACTCACTCACAGAACATATTTAAGTAAGTACAAAGGAACTGAAGTTATCTGCTGTGTATTATCAGATCATAGTGCAATGAAATTGGAGATCAATAGCAAAAGATATTCTCTGTATTTCAGCCATTCTAGTTGGTATGAAGCAGTATGTCACTGTGCTTCTGATTTTCATTTCCCTAATCGTTAATGATGTTAAAATTTTTTCCATGTTCCTATTAGTCATTTGTATATGTTTTCTGAAGAAATGACCTTATGTGTTTCTTTGGGTAACATACTGTATCAACTTTTAATTGGCTAGTAATAATAAATTCTGCTTGGCTATGAGTCTTTCCTCCTACCCTACCCTCAAAACTAACATTATTTTAAAATTTACTTAAATATATATTTATTTTGGTTACTTGAGATAGGGTATTGCTACTGTGTAGTCCGGGTTGGCCTTGAACTCTCTGTTTTAGCTCAGCTGGACTCAAACCCTCAATTCTCCTGGCTCAGTCTCCTGAGTGCTGGAATTATGGGCTGGGATTACATGTGGGTGCCATTACACATGGCTTAAATATATATTCATTTAAACATATATACATCATAGAAAAATGTAAAATACAAAATTAAAGTCTCATAATTCCACCCCACAGTACTAATGATTTATTTTCTAAACTTTTTTCCTCATTAAAAAATAAAAAATATCTATAACAACACTCTATATGTATGTATAAATATATATCAAGGGCCAGGGATTTAGCTCAGTGGTTTTGCCGCCTGCTGCGTTAAGTGCAAGGACCCAAGTTCAATCCCTGGTACCAAAAAAAAAGAAAAAGAAAAAAATCAAGCATTTATTTTGTGCCAAGCACTGTGCCAAACACTTTAAAGTGTTTGCTGTCTCATTTAATGCTAATAAATATTAAAATCATGTGATGTTTTATAACCTTAACCTATTATGAATTTTTCTTTAGTAACTTTCTAAAGTACAATTTTTTGGTAGCACCACAATATTCCACTTTGTGATAGACTATAATGTAACTAATCCCTCACTATTGGAGGGTCTTTCTAGTTTTATACACCTACTATTATAAACCTGCTTTTATACATTAACCCTTCATATTTAACATAACAGCCAATGTTTATTGAGCACTTAGTAAGAGCACCATGGTAGCCACTTTGTGTGGCCTCTTCTAATTGAGGTGCATGACTGGATGAAAGAGGAATTTTCATTTTCCCTGTTTTACAAAGGAAGAAGCCAAATGTTAAAGAGGCTAGGTAACTTCCTCAAGGCTACACAGAAAAACTGGTGGTAAACTCAGGATGCAAATGAGGTCTATGAGACTAGAGAGTGGTGTCTTCAATCATTATGCCACACTGTCTCTCCCATTATTTCTCTAGGATAAATTTTTGGAAGGAGAATTGTTAAAGACAACGTCCCCTTTTTAAGTCTATTAAATGCTGCCAGGTTGCCTTCCCGTAAGATTTTAAGTTTTTACACTGCTCATTTTCATACCTTTACCAATAGTGGATACGAAAACTTTTAAAACTCATTTTCAATTTTTTGAGGAAAAAAATGCCAGTTCATTTCACTTATTTTTAAGTTGCTCTGGACTACTGGTACTTCTGTAATTACTTCCTCTACTAGACAAAGCGGAGCAGATGTGTCCTCCTAGCTGGACCCAACGGCTTATAGCAGTGATGGTGAATCTATGGTACATATGCCACACTGAAAGCTTTAGAAGGTTCACCATCACTGGCTTATATCAATAGAAGGGGATTTTGAAAAGTTAGCATTCTTTATTGAAAATAAGAGGTGCTGTAGTAGTGGTAGTGACAAGGAGAATGGCAAGTCCCCCCAGGTCAGGTTAAGGAAGGCTGATAACATGTGAGCCCAGAAGTAGAGACAAGCACCTAAGCCAATACCCTACTTACTGACTGATGAGTTGTCATCTTTAACATCAGATGGTCTCAAGTAACCAAGAACTTCACCTTGGGCCCTTGTTCCTGATTTTATGGGCGTACCACATGGAAAGGTCCACATCATGGGAGGAAAAAGACCTCTTAGCTCACCAGAACGCTGGTCTTCTTTTTGATCCCCAACCCTCCTACCGCTACCTCTTCACTACGAAGTTGTGGAGCTGAGACAACCAGCTCTAAAGCACTCCATTTTCCCTAACAACTTGTACTTACTCCTCCAGACTGTCGAGAACCGTTTCCAATGAGCTCCAGGTAGATGAAGTCATTTCTCTGTGTGCCCTCTGTACCATGAGCTTCCCTCAGCCCTTTCAAGTGTCATGCTGCTTTGTAACTGGTGGTCTCCATCCTAGTTTAATTTGTTGAAAGCAAACTCCTTGTCTTTATTGCTATACCCAATACACAGGACAAGCAGCTTGGAAAGACAGGGTTTTGGCGCCCTTTCACAAATAAATTGCACTTACTTGCCAACTTCACCTAAACATCCTATCTATGGGAGAGCAGAGAAAGGAACTAAAATTTAGTGAGCATCTCTGAGGTGCCTAGTACTTTCCACACATTAACTCTGATCATTCTCAGCAAAGTCATTAACATTAAAAATGAAAACATTAAAGCTTTACTTTCCATAGTTTGTAGGGTCAGAATCTGAACTCAGGCTGATGTGACTCATAAGCTTTGCTTTTTGTTCTGTTAGGTGGGCTTTTCTCCTGAAGCCCATAGCCATATTAAGTGTAAGGGAAAGGGCTATTCTTGTAGAATTGTTAGCATAAAACCCCCTCAAAGTAAAAATTTCTCTATTTGCCCTGGAGGAATTTCTGGCTAGGAAACAAGGAGGGGAAAGGAACCTAAGAAGGGAGATGTAAGGAAGGAGGTGGTAACCTAAAATCACAGAAAGCCTCCCCATGAATCTGAAAACACCACTTGGAGCACTTTGACCTTCAACTTGGCCTTTTAAAATTATTCCAAGCCTGTGAAGCTTTTAAAAAAACTACCCTAGAATTCTTATGGCATTGTAATATCATAAGAAAAAATTGCCATACGTTAACATATGAAAAGGTGCACAAGAGATACCTGGCTCTCATTCTGATGAACAATGAACAGCAGCTGAGTCTAAGCCATTAAAATTCTCTAGAAACCTCCATCTTCTCATTTCTAAACTGCAAAGATTAGTTCAAGAGAGTTCCCAGTCTGACTCTGCATCCAAATAACCCCCTGAACCGGTGGAGAATACTGATCTCTAAATCCCACCCTTGCTCTGATTTAGTTCACCTGTAATGAGTCTTAGGCATCCCTAGGAAAATTTATAGGATCTGCCACGTCTGAGAACACCTGGGTGAGATCTTCTGTTCCCTGCTCCCCTCCCTAACAGGTCAGGACACTGTGAAGATGGTCAATAGACTCAGCATATTGAATCACATAACCAGAGAGTAACAAGAAATAATTTCAATTCTAAAAGGCTTAATAATTTCTTCCTGTTTCAGAGCAAAGTGAGATGTTCTCAGTCTTTCTCTACTGGCTTAACCTGTCTTTGGTCTCCCCATAAACCAGCCTCAGCAGTGCCCACAATTGCTCTAGTAGGGAATGTAAACTCTTTGTAATTGCCGGGGTGTCTCTGGAGGTATCTGCAGTCAGGATCCTCTTTAGCTGCTGAACCATTACTTCCTCTACTTTACTTCTTTAAAGCTGAGGATGAACTATGACCAGAAAACTTAAACAGCACACTAGTAGTGTACGCTGAGACTGCACAATGATAGCCCTACCTTGGCATCCAGCTTAGCCAGGTGCTGTAAAACCCAGATGCGGTGGGACCAGGCATTGTAGTTGCTTGGGTATCTCCCTGCTGCTTCACCACAGACCTCCATCTCTTCCTGTATTAGTCGCTGTGTCCTCTCTGCAGGAATTGTCCCCAAATTTCCTTTGTTTACAAAGGAAGGCAAGGAAGCTTCCTGAATTAGCTGTTGGAGCACCCATCGCCTGTTAAGGTAGCATGTGGGAAAGAGCATAAACCAAAGACCATAAACCAAAGAGGAAAACAATCAGTTTTCATTGTTCTCAATTTAATTTCCATACATAAACAATGGAAAAGTAAGACCCATCTATCTATAAGCCCAGGTTTGGAGGTGGTATGGAGAGACTGGTTCTTTGTTGTTTTTAAAAACAAATTCAGCAGCATGAATGGGGGGGGGGTAGGATAGAGAAACCTTTCTATAACTTTAAAATCTGTCAAAAAGAGAATGTCATCAGTTCTAAAACGACAATTCCCAAACTTCATCTGGCCAGAAAACATAAAGGGGCAGCTGGTCTGTGTGTTTTTGTGGTGGTAGTGGTAGTGATAGAGTATTACTGCACTACCTTGGTTCACGAATACTTTTGTTTGCCAACAATTTGGTTTGTAAGTAGAAAAATTTTACAAGATTTTGTTTTCGTTTGCAAACAATGCACTGGATGATAATCGTGGCCATCTTTCCCACACAAACACAAATATGGCCATCTTTTCCAAAATTGTAGAACAAATTAAGTTCATGAATGGAAGTACCACTGTAATTAACGGCTGGTAAATATTAGAAGCAAAAGTCATGGTTCACGTCTTCAATTAAGTGTGCCTGCCTCACCCTATGTGTGTTTGTTTGCAAAAAAGAAACTGCATTTTGACAGCTTTCATTAAGCAAAATTTCTGTATTACAGCATGAAGTCTGGAAGGAAACATATATAATACAATTAGCTAAACCATCAAGGAGATTTTTTTCTATTTAAGATTTACATTAGCATTAAATCAAAAGCACTAAAAAAGTATATATATTTAGTTAATGTCTTTAGTTTGAATATTTTATGAAAGCATTCTTTCAGACTAAAAGTTTTCAACCTAAAGGTAGAAAAAATTAAGAAAATTAATTTCATTATTTTTAGATAATGGAAGTTTTATTTAACAACAAAATATTGCTTTAAGAATTATAAACACCCAATAATTGATGGATGTACACTTAATAGTTCCCATCCCCTGCCACCACTCTTTTCAAATCCCATACAAAACCTCTCTAAGGTTTATTATCCAGTTTCTAGTGAAATACAACTGACGATGGTTTGGAAGGAGCTGCCTTGCAATACTAGGCGGACACAAATACAGCTAAAGATACGTTGTACTGACATAAAACACCTAAAATGTCCAGGATTTAAAGAAAAGTCAGAGTGGCTTAATGAAAAGAGACTTCTTCAGAATAACTCTTCCAGTAACACTGATCAGCAAGCTCACATCACCCTTTTTTAGTCAAATAAAAGTAGTTACATGCAGTCCAAAGAGGAAGATGCTTCCAGACAGCCAGGATTTGAGGACCCTATTTGCATTCTGACTATCTCAGGTCTTTAAAAATGCTCTTGCCATTTATGGTCTTAGTAACTTTAGCTCAGCCTAGACATCATTCACCTCAGCTGCTCTTAGCTTCCTTTATTATTGTATTTTAATAACTACAATCATCACTACCACAATCTTTACCAGGAACACAATCTAACGCATTTAAAAGCTCAAAATGTTTAATATGATGTTGAGTATCAAAATACAATCTCCACAACTGTACAGTTAATAATAGCTAACTAACATTTATTGATTTTGTTTTTTTTTTTTTTGGTACCGGGGATTGAACTCAGGTCCTAGCTAACATTTATTGAGTATTTAATATGTGCCAGAAATTGTGGTAGTGTTTACATGTATCATCTCATGTACACTGAATTATGAGACAGGTGTAATTATTAACTCTCATTTTAGAAATAAGAAAACTGAGAACTTGGAGAGGCTAATTTCCCATGAACACAAATGATAGCCCCTAGATTTAAATGTAGATAATGAACTTTAAAATTTATGCTGTGAACAAACATGAGACCCTGTTTCACTTGCTGCTCCTTCGTCCAGCCATCCTGAATTCTAAACACAAATACTAGGCTGTAATTAACCACACCTGTGAATCCATGTTTCTGGACTCTTTGGAAACTTTGTTAAGGCCAATTTTCCCAGATGTAAGTCTTTAATTGGATTTAGAGTACCAGAAAGGATCATTTCTTTCCTGTAAAAGAAAAAATTTGAAAAGCATTACATTATCCTTCTATTCAAACACTCTGCATGACTTTTAACACAACCTCATTATGAAGTGTCAATTTCCAAGAATTGAAATTAAAAAAAAAAAAGAAAATCAAAACCCCAAACCACTCTGGTATAGTATTAAAGTGTCATAAATGTCACATACAGTAATCAAGAATGTATTCTCATAATTTCAAAATGAGTATGCAATAAGAAGAGCTTCTCTTAGGTCAACAGTGGAACTTTAGTTAACTATCTGGATGACAGCAAAGGTGTTTTCTTGACTGTCTCATTTCAAAAAGCTACATGACCAGACAGCAGTTATCTAACAGCAGTCAAGAACTGCTCTAGCTTCCTGAACAGGACTCAGATAGTCTAGCTCATGCACGCACGTGCGTGCGCGCGCGCGCACACACACACACACACACACACACACGCAGGAAAGTCAAAACACACAGTATGATTGAGATGCAAAGAAAAAGACCATCTGTTGAATCATTATCCTAACAAAGTTATTGTTTAAATTGTCCATTCTACCTTTCCCTGTATTTTTATATTTTTAATGTATAATTTTATATCTTGCTCTCATCATATTTTAAGTATTTCTCTATGGTTCTATATAATCTTTGTAATGAATATTTTATTTATTTTTTATTTTTTGGTACTGGGTATTGAACTCAGGACCTTGCGCTTGCAAGGCAGGTGCGGCACCTTTGAGAGAAATTCCCAGCCCATGTAATGAATATTTTATTATTATTATTTTTCTTTTGGTACCAGGGATTGAACTCAGGACCTTACACTTGCGAGGCAGGCAGCGGAACCACTGAGCAAAATCCCTGGCCCTGTAATGAATATTTTAAATAATCAAATGGTCTTCATTCAATAGCTATGCTATAATTTAATATCCTTTCTCCCTACAGATATACATTTAGATTGCTTCAAACATTTTGCTATTTTTTTTTTTTTTTTAATGGTACTGGGGATCGAACTTGGGACCTCGCACTTGCGAGGCAGGCACAAGAACCACTGAGCTAAATCCCCAGCCCTGCTATTCTAAAAGAATTATGGGAAAAAAACAGAACAAAACCATGTGCTCACAACTTCTTTCTTTTGTATTATTACTTAGGATAAGTTTCTGATAGGTCTCCCACTACCTCAGCAGCTATTATGTATAGTAGCTGCCCTCTTCCTATCGTGCCTTGCCCCCTCCCCTGTGTGACATCATGCCAAGATGGTTGCTCCCACCAAAGAACAAACCCTTCTTCCCAGCATGCCCCTGTTCCCACCTAGAGAGTAACCTAATACTCGCTCACCTCCTACCACCTAGTGATATCACCCGCTCCTCCATTCCCTAGTCACTACCTCATTCAACCCCACCTCAGCCCCTACAAACCCCACCCCAGTCTCTATAAAAGACTCTCCCTGCCCCAGCCATATTGCTTTTGTCTCTCCTTTATTGAGAGGCAGCCCAGCAGATCTACTCCCCTAATAAGGGCTTGTTGTGGCCTGGTCTGGTCTTGGTTTTCGGCCTTTTACCTGACAGTTTCCAAGAGGTATTACCACATGAAATACTTGGGTGGCCCTTAATATACTAGGCAGCTACCTTATTTGAAATAAAAGCAGAAGTGATAGACAAATGTTTTAAAGCTGATCAAGTTCAACCAAAGGTTCAATGCAATTTTAAAGAATTTCAAACTAGTCGTTACTTATTTTTCAGTAAATGCAATTTACATTTAATTTCTCAGCTAAGTTTTTGATAACAGGTGTTAATATTACAAGTATGCTTCCAATTCTCAATATATCATTTTATAATAAAATCAGATCAGTTATTAATTTTTAAATGTTCTGGTGATAAATCTATTAATTTATTTTAGAGAAGTTTAAGTCTAACAAAACCAGAGCCCTTATACATAAGCTTCTTAGATGAATTTAGTTCTAAAAATGACAGTAATTTTTTTTTTCTACCAGCAATGGTAGAAAAAAAAAATTCTAAATTTTTATTTGATAAAGAAAATAACTTCCTTTTTAATGAAAATATAAACAGTGGTAATACTTGGATTTTATAATTGTTTTAAGGTAACATTGTAGAATAATTTGAAGCAACTCCTAGAAGGTTTATAGTTACTTTAGTTGACCCTTTTCCTTTCAACATACAGGAAACCTATTTTTCATTAAAAACAAAACAAAATAAAACAAAAAACACAAAAAACAATGCACCAGCCAATTGCTTCTGCAGGCTTATATAGGTTTTTTCCCCTGAAATCAGTAACATTTTTCTTATACAGTAAATAGTATCTATGAAGTAAGAGGAATACAAAGATTGCTCTATGTAATTTTAACTACTTTGCAGAACAGTGTTTCTCACTGTAACATCAGCATTATCTGAAGCAGGAGAAATGCAGATTCTCAGTCTTGCAGACACACTAAATCAGAAATAGATGAGCAAAGCAATGTGTTTTAACAAGCCCTTCTAGCAGGGCACATTAAAGTTTAAAACCACTATTGTAGAGAATATACTATACTATGTTTAATTTCCATTTGCTAAATTTAAGACCTGTTGTTATTTACAACTGCCTTTCTTTATTCCTATGTAAGGGGAAATAATAAAATATTTCTTTCAAAAAAAAGAGTCGACTTCGACTTACAACCCAGTTGTAACAAAGTTTCTTAAATTACCAGCACTATTAATTTGTTTATCTTAAAAAACAAAGCTGTATTTTGGGAAGACATTTTAGACGGGAACAACCTCAGCTAACTACATATATGAATGCTTAAAAAGATTATGTAACAATCATAAAAAAGAAAGCAAAATATTGTCAATTAACAGACATTCCAGGGTGCAAGACTGAACATTTAAAGATGTTAGATACTGGTGTAAACAAATTTTTTAAAAAAGATTACCTTAAAAAGAAATATTGTAAGTAGTTAAGTTATGGCAATATAAACCTAGAGTACAATAAAAATTAACTGCTTTAATTAATTCACAGATTCCATAGGAATCTAGATGGAGATAAAATTTCCAGTCACACATGGATTCAAATAATACTGTAACTCCAACAACTCAGATATAAACAGGATGGGCTCTGGAAAACTGCCAGATAAATAAAAGTGACTTTTGTGATGACAAAGTCATTGATGTAAATTAAGTCATGGAAGGTGTTTTAATAAAACTGACTAATAAAATGTGAATAAGAAAATGAAAAATTTATAAACTGAAACATCTCCTGAGATGTCATTTTAAAGGTAACTAAATTGAAATAAATCTTAAGGCATTAACTTACTTCATGTGTATTCCCTAAAGCTTATACAATGACACAGTATTAGTCTAAAAAACATTTTGGGGGAAATTTTTCTTACTGGAGAAAATGGGGTGCTACCTTAAAGGTAAGGTGGATTTATTTGAGGAACCTTTATGTTTACGCACACAGAGAAGTCTAGCTTCTACTTCTTAAGTGGTGCATTGCTAACAGAAGAGACGATAAATCCAGGATCCTCAAATAAACAGAGAAACTAGAAAAGGAAAAAGCATCTGTATTATTCTGGGATTAGAGAAAAGAGATGGTGAGGAACAATGATATGCTACATGTACAACTCTGTTGGAAGAGTTATGCAAGTGAGGGATGCCATTTTTAAAAGGTGAGAGAAGGGAGTAGAAGGAATTTTTAAAAATGATACAAAGTGGAATTATAAAAGCAATGAGGTTTTCCACATAGCTATTTTTGAAATGATAAAAGTAATAACTCTTTAAAAATCTATGCTATGTATTTTTAGTAATTAAACAGTATATGAAAAACTCTCATCACTTTCCATTGAAGACTCTTGTTCATTAGGAAAAATCACCTAGCTCTGTAGCTAAGACACAAGCATGGGAACTTTCACAGCTACTAAGCTGAATAGTATGCTATATTTTATTCTTCTATGATATACAGTATTGTATTTTCATATTTCTGCAAAATTTGTTTTGATCAAGGCTGAACTGCTACTGGTTAGCTCTGTTCTTGGCACATAATATTGAATAAACACCATCTTTTTTCTCCTCCAATCTTTATTCTATTGAAATAATAGTCATCCTCATAAAACCTATCAGCCACAGTACACTTTTCCCTAATTACTATTAAGTGGTTTACATGTTATCTAGTTTGCTTCTCAATAATACCAAATATCCTTTCTTTATTCTAGGGCCCCATCCAGGACCCCATATTACATTTTGGTTGCTATGTCTTAGGCTCCTTGGGTTCATCTTGTTTTTGATGGCTTTGATATTTTTGAGTACTGATTAGAAATTTTTTTTTCATTAAGTTTATAGGTACATTTTAGGTATACAACCATGCCTGCCTCGCAAGCACAAGGTCCTGAATTCAATCCCCAGTATTGGAAAACAAAAAAAAAATGTATAGGTGGGATTAGATATACAATATGCTGACATTCATCACTGGGAATTTGTACCTTTACATGACATATCTTGGATCTTATTTTTCCCCATTCCCCTACCCTCCCTATTTATAAAGACGTTGCTTCCATTTTTTCCCTTATCTCATATTTATTCCTTTCCCTTCTTTCCTTTTTCCTACCCCTCCCAATTCCCCTTTCCCTTTGGACCTTTTCTTCCTATTTCACATTATCAATTAGACATTTTGATCTTTATTTACACTTTCAGTTTCTCACACCAGATAAATTATTCAGTATTTACGCATGTGTGTCCTATTTATTTCACTTAAGAGTATCACCTCATTGTGAATCCATTTAGCTATAAATGTCTCTAGTTTCTCATTCTTTATGGCTGAGTAGTAAGATATTTTATATGATGCTTTTATTGTGATTAAACTGAGGTTATGGGTTTGGAGGAGGAAGACTACAGAGGTAAAGTCCATCAAATCAGGGGCACAATCAACATGACCTATCACTGTTGATGACCTAGATTACATGGTTGAGGTAATGTTATGTCAGGTTTCTTTACTACTTTTTGGAGGAAAGTCACTGATTTTC